AATTTGCCACTGACGATTCAAACGCGAGTTTTGAGCAGTGTAGAGTAGCGCTTGCTGTTTGTCATTTCTCCGATCACAAATGCAGACATGGTTTCATGTTTATGCGGCGCGATGCAATGCAATGCCTAAAAAGACAGTATAAGTCATTATAATCCGTAATTATGTCCCCACTGGATGCAACAAATGCTTCGTTTATAATGGGTTTTAATGTTTTTGTCTCGTCGCTCCGGCCGGGACAAGGCATCACAATATGGTAAGGGGCGTAACATTTCCGTCACACGCTTGAGGTATTCAGCCAATCACAACGCACTGGATAGCTGGCCAATCAGAGCACACCTCGCTTTTCAGACCGATGAGCTTTGTAAAAATCGACGCGTTTCAGAAAGGTGGGGCATAGAGGAGAAACAATAATGTACAGTATGTGGAAAATAATGTGTTTTTTTTACTTTAAACCGCATAAACACATTTCATTACACCAAATACACAAAATAATGTTCTTTTTAGCAACATCATATGACCTCTTTAAAACTGCCATATTTTCACCTCACGACATGATACGTCATTACCACTTATGAACTAAGATATTCAACTTAGAAACCTGGATGCTTCAATGTACACTACTGTTCAACAGTTTGGGGTTAGTAAGATAAAGAAATTAATAAATTTATTCAGCAACGATGCATTAAATTGATGAAAAGTGACTGCAAAGACTTCACATTGTAACAAAGATTTCTATGATCTTTTGAACTTCTATTAATCAAAAAATTCTGAATGTTTCCACAAAAATATTAAATAAGCAGTTTTCAAAATTGATAATAAGAAATGTTTCTTGTGCAGAAAATCTAGACTAATGATGCTAAAAATTCATCTTCACAGATATAAAATGAAAAAATAAATATATCATGTCTCTCCTCAAAAACCAGTACAAGCTGAAATATTATGTCCACCATAATATAAGTTCAAATTCTAGGCCTATATCCTAAGTATTAGCAATAGTGATATCTAAGGCACCTTTTTACGTAAGGAAAACAGATTTCTCCAGCTCAAAGTCTGGCTAGGTCAGAGAAAGAAGTATTAAACAGTCATGGTCCCTGTGGCGTCTGAGAAAGAAACATCTGCGAACGACTAACTAACATAAATTATTCATCAAGTTCATGTTGTTCCTCTCAATTCTCAAGATTACGCCGCCAACGGTATGGTTAAATGATCATTGTTGCTTTCAGTATTGGAGAGGCAGTCTAACTGTTAAATTGCCTCGTTCTGATCCATGCTACTTTTCTCACGCTGTTTTCTACGTAACTGCAGAGGAGAACATTCAGATCAAAACCACAGAACGAACATCACTGTCTCACTGAGTAGGATGGGTCTCGATCACTTCCTCTTTCGGTTTTCAATGCCCTCAAAGCAGCACATGCCTCCAAAGGCCACACTGTTTTTCAGTTCTTACACTGAAAAAAAATGATTTTCTGGTATTATGATCCTTAAACCAAAATCAATTAACTTGAGAAGCAAAATTATATTTATAGCAAATATATATA